CGGCAGACCTTGCCCCGAACCGGAACCCACGCAGCCAATTCTAAGACCTCGGCCTTACTGCCCGAATCGTGAACCTCGAACCCCATGACCCGAGCCTCGAGCGAAGACCCTTACCCTGAGAATGCAATCCTAACTCTACGACCCTTGCCCCAACACTATGACCCTAACCCTAACCCTAAGAGCCTGACCCTTGGACTCTAAACCAAACGCCTAATCCACAAATATCCAATCCCTAACCCCAGGCCCCTAACCTGAAGGCCCTAGCTTCACCCGAACCGTAATCCTCGGACCCTAAACCCTAACATTCGTAGCCCTGCGGCCCTCACACTAACCCCAATCCAAAGACCCTAATCATGAGAACCCTCAGAGCCTGACCTTAGTACCGTAACCCTAGCCCTAAAAACCTAACCCCCGAAGACCCGAATCTTCAGATCCAAACCCAAAGATCCTGGCCTGAAGACCTTTAGCCTGAGGCCCTGTCCCTAAGACACCTGCCTGGAGATTCTAATCCGAACGCCCTAATCCCAAATGCCCAAACCGACAGATCCTACCCCAAACCGAAAAACGTAGGATCCGACATCTACCCCGGAGACCCTTATCCGAACCACCCTAAGAACCTAACCCTAATACACAAACCCTAAATCCCGAATCCTGAGACTTGAACTCGAAGTTCCTAACCCTGAGACCCCAACCTTAACCCTAAGACTGTTGTCCCAACCCTACAACCCTAACCCTGAGACCCACACCCAAAGAACTTCATCCTAACTCTAAGTCCCTAATCCTGGGACCCTAAAGCCAACGCCCGATCCTAATTTCCCGGCAGTAGCCACAGCCCCGTAACCGTAGGACCCCAACCCTAAGACCCGAATTGTAACCCGAAGATCTTAATTCTAATTCGAATACGTTGAAACGTAAGTCTTTAACCCTCAGACCCTAATCCTGACCCACATCCTACGGCCCGAACCCTCCTAACCCTACGGCCCCAGCCCTGAGATCCGAACCCTGCCCCACAGATTCCAGCCCCAATACTAAGACGTGACCACCATGGTGACGACGATGATGAGGACGATGACGACGGAGATGAAGATGACGATGATGACGATGGCGACGATGACGATGACGATGATTATGACGGTGAAGACGATGATGACGACCGCGATGTTGATGACGACGGCGATGACGACGGCGTTGACGGTGATCACGATGATGGCGATGACGACTATGAAGACGATGACGAACGACGACAATGACGACGATGACGACGATGACGGCGACGACGTCGACGATGACGCCGATTACGACGATGACGGTGACGGTGGCGACGATGACGTGGAGGGAGGAGGAGGGAGGCGGTCTGGAGGCCTGGAGGAGGCCTGGGTGAGGTCTGGGGAAGAAGGGAAGAGGAAGAGGAGAAGGAGGGCGGAGGTTGTCGGGAGGTCAGGAGGAGGTCCCAAGGAGGGTCTAGAGGGTCCCGAAGGTCGACTACGTTAGATTTTCGGTGATTTTTCGTTGCTGTACGTCGACGTTGTATGTTTAGTTGAGTTTCGTGGACGTTTGCTGATCGTAGACTTTTCGTCATTGTTCGATCTTCGTCAATTTTGAATACGTTTAGTCGACGTTTTTTTGGTTTTCGTCGACGTTCAGTTGATTTTCTATGATTTTTGTAGAAGTTCGATATTCGTAGGTTCTTCGTTGACTTTCGTTGACGAGCAATTTCGTCGGTGTTTTTGTTTATTTACGTCGACATTTAATTACTCGTCGATTTTCGTGCACCCTCGATTTTCGGAAATATTTTGTAGATTTCCGTATGCGGTGTGCCGACATAGACATGTGGAGGGCAGATGCAGGGATGGGAGGAAGGAGGAGGAGGAGAAGGAGGAAGGAGGAAGGAACGCGGGGTGCTCTCTTCAGGACGAGGACCCAACACCACAGGATGCTTGGGGCAGAAAAAGTTCGAGGGGGAAAAACAGAGTACCACCCCGAGCGTGGGAATAAAGGGTCAGGGGGAAAACAAAGGGTGTCTCTCTTGGGGCCCTTTGCCGGTACCCCCGCCATCCTTGTCAAAAGCGAATGCAACGCGAGCGCGGGGCGTCCGAGCATGATCCAGATTTTTGTGCAGTGTGCATTTTGTATTTTTTGCAGGGGATTTTTGGGGAGGGCTGGCGTTGCGCGCAGCAGGCGATGTGCTGCCCCCCCCGCCGTCCCTGTGCATGGCCAGTGCACAGTGATCGCGGGGCGTCCGCGCCTGATCCAGATTTTGGTTCGAAGTGACTTTTTTTTTCTTTTCAACGCATGGTGGGGGGTCTTGGCCTGCGCGCAGCAAGCAACGTGCCAGCACCCCCGCCGTCCCTGTCAAAAACCACTGCAGAATGGTCGCGGGGCGCCCGCGCATGCCCCAGATCTGGAGGCAAAGTGTATTTAGTGCCGTTTTTTTGACAGGGGTGGTAGTGGTGTGTGTGTGTGCTTTGGTCCAGGTTGGCTACCGGTCGTGTGGGGGATGTTTCTTATTAGGGGACGGTGATCAAGCTGCCCCAAGCCGCAGGCCGTGTCGCTCTTTCACCCGCCCTCCCGCTACACAAGAGCACCGGAGTCTCAGCCCAGGCAGGAGCCTCGTGAGGCGACGGAAAACACGTGAGGGGTGTGCCGAAATGGGCTTGCGGAGGGCAGACGGAGGACTTGGGAGGAGGGGGATGAGGTGAGGAGGCGGGCCGCGGCGCTGCTAATTCAAAAAGAGGACGCAGATCACACAGGAGGTTTGGGAAGTATTCAGGAGGGAAAAACACACAGACACAATTACGGTAGGTTCGTGTCGTGTCGACCGGCGGCGACCCCGCCGTTGGCGTTCAATGTTGAACGCCGCTGGCGACCCAGAATCGGTCGATGTGGAACGATCTGATGTTTCTGGGACGGCCGATCGTTCAAAATTGAACGATCTCCGTGGTTTCAGAAACCAACGCCGAAGTCGGCACGACACGAACCTAACGTACCCCAGTGCGACCCTACCTAGAAGTTGGAGCCCCTAGGAAAGCAGCATTAGCTGCTATGCTATGCTATGCTATGCTATGCTATGCCATGCTATGCTGCGCTATGCTATGCTATGCTATGCTATGCTATGCTATGCTGAGCTATGCTATGCTCTGCTATGATATGCTAAACTATGCTATGTCATGCTGCGCTGTGCTATGCCAAGCTATGCTATGCTATGCTAAGCTGCGCTATGCTATGCTATGCTATGTTATGCTATGCTATGCAATGCTATGCTACGCTATGCTGCGCTATGCTATGCTATGCTATGCTTGGCTATGTTATGCTATGCTATGTTATGCTAATGCAGCGCTGCGCTATGCTAAACTAAGCTAAGCTAACCCTCTAGGCAGAGCCTAGGTAGGGAATTACACCCATGCTATGCTTTTCCTTTGCTTTGCTTTTGCTTTTGCTTTGCTTTGCTTTGCTTTGCTTTGCGTTGCTTGTGCTTTGCTGTGCTGTCGCTGCTGATGCTTTGCCTTTGCTTTGCTGCTATGCTCTGCTCTGCTCTGCTATGCTATGCATGTTATGCTGCGCTGTGCTATGCTGTGCTGTGCTGTGCTGCGCTATGCTATGATATGCTATGCTATGCTGCGCTATGCTATGCTATGCTGGGCTATGCTATGATATGCTATGCTGCGCTATGCTATGCTACGCTATGCTATGCTATGTTGTGCTCTGCTATGCTAAAGCTCAGCGAAGCTAAGATGAAGGTCAGCTAAGCTAAGATAAACCTGAGCTAAGATGAAGCTAAGCTAAGCTAATATGAAATAAGCTAAGCTAAAATGAGATGAGCAACGCTCAGCTAAGGGGACGTAACTGGGGGAACCGCGGGGCGGATACTGGGGGAACCGCCCGGGGCGCTTTCCACTGCCTGGCCCCTTAAACGCAGAGAGTAAGAACCCTTCTAGGCAGAGCCTAGGTAGGGAATTAATCGTCGACTCCCAGGAAAATATGGGGAAATATGGGAAATCAGGGGGGAAACCAAAAACCCAGAAAATATGGGAAAACATGGGGGATCCTGTTATTTGTGTGTATTTATTTGTGTGTCCCAGGGCCCCTTCAAGCACGCGCGTGCACCGATCCATTGCCGTGGCCGTGAAGGCATGCGTGATCCAGGTTCGAGGGCCCGTGAGTCCCCAAACCAGATGGGATGGGTCCCAGGGTTCACGGTTCTCTCCGCTCACATGGGAGGGGGAGAAGGCGACGACGACGACGACTTCGAAGACGAGGAGGAGGAGGACGACACCGAGGACCTTGACGACGACGACGAAGACGACGACTACAGCAACGAACACGTCTTCGAAGACGACGGCGCGGGCGACGAGAGGGGGGAGGAGAACGACGACGACGACGACAATGCTGACCACGACGACGACGGCGACCGCCGCAGGACCACACCGCACCCACAAGGGGTGGGTGGGCACCGCAGCATCACACCAGCTTCACGCACCGGGGGGAGGACCCATCGGCGGGGTTGGGGCGGCGGCGCACCCACTGGCATGCGGGGACCCCTGGACCCTACACATCGATTCTGGGTCCACCCCTCTTGCGCGCTGGCCACTTCGCTTTTCGGCGCCCCCGTCTGGCTCGTTCGCTGGTGCCGCCACCTCTGCCTCGCCGCCGACGGGAAAAAGTGCATCACTCTCGTCGCCCCCGGTGCGGGAGGGAGCAATATGGGGTCAGTGCGGGAGGGTCCAACGAGGCCAAGTTGTCACAGCTGACGCAGCTACATCATTATTTTTGTAAGCCCTCTAACTTTGCCGACTGTCCAGCATTGCGCCGCCCTTCTCCATTCTCTCCCGCTTGCAGGGGTCCTCTTCCCGTTCCCCAGGGGCTTCCTTCGGTAGCAACTCATGGAGGTCTCGCTTGTCTTGGCAATTTCGCCTCGGAGTGCATTGCCGTGCTCTCGCGTCCGGTAATCGATGAGAGAGCGCCGATTTATCGTCGACCAGCATCGATTACCGTTGACGTGTGTCAGCGTCGATTCGCAAGAGCCAGCAATATGACATGTGAGGCTCCCATGAGTTGGAACAGAAGATTTCTTCCAAGCGATCTTCAAGGTCGCGTGTGGTCGGAACAATATGGCTTCCAGTCATGTTTGGCCTCCTCCAGCCAGGATGCTCGACTGGACGCGGCCAGGTAATTCAACATTTTTGAACTTCCCTCGAACTTTCCAGGCTGGCCGCAAGCACCGTGTGGCTGTTCGCCGCTGCACCTCGTCGCCGTGGTCTTTCCAATGTTTCACCGTAGTCGAGGGGGAGCGAGTGCACGGAGTGTGTTTGTTGACGTGCCTTTGAGTGATCGAGCAGGATTTGCTGCTTGATCTGCCAATCCCAGGGGTTCTCGTAGCATCACGTGTGCAAGCTCTGTTTACCCACAGGACCGGAGTCCGTCCTGGGTCGAGCCTCCATGCCGCGCTTTATATTGTTTTATGACCGCAGGAACGTGCGCCTGGATTGTTCGGAGGGGCGCTTGGGTTTTTTAAGCTTCAGGGTCCAACGGAGTACTTGCTTGAACTTCGTTGCCAGCGGGTGCGTGAGTATATGTGTATATATATACACACATTTGTATGTGTATGTATCTGGGCATGCTGCACATATATATATACATGTATGGTTAGCACCCCAGCAATATCCCTACCCCAATCGCTGCTTTCTCTCCTTCTCTCTCTCCCTACCTCTCTCTCTTTTTTTTTTTTCTCTCTCTCTCTCTCTGTCTCTCGCTCTCTTTTTTTGTTTGTGTTTTTTTCCCAACCATCCTGTGGTGTTGGGTCCTCGTTTTGAAAACGGTCCCCGCGTTCTCCCCTCCTCCTCCTCTGCCCCCTCCTCCTCTCCACCGTCCGCATGCGTCCCGCACACCCAGTACAGCGTTTCGTGGCCCCATAGGGAGCCCCGCCGAAGGCCCCAGTGCTGCCGCCCGCATGCGTCACGCACACCCAAGTCGGCACACCCCTCACACGTTTCGTGGCCCCATAGGGAGCCCCACCGAAGGCCCCAGTGCTGCCGCCCGCATGCGTCACGCACACCCAATTCGGCACACCCCTCACACGTTTCGTGGCCCCATAGGGAGCCCCACCGAAGGCCCCAGTGCTGCCGCCCGCATGCGTCCCGCACACCCAATTCGGCACACCCCTCACACGTTTCGTGGCCCCATAGGGAGCCCCACCGAAGGCCCCAGTGCTGCCGCCCGCATGCGTCACGCACACCCAATTCGGCACACCCCTCACACGCCCCACGCATGCGGCCACCCCTCACACGTTTCGTGGCCCCATAGGGAGCCACCGAAGGCCCCAGTGCTGCCGCCCGCATGCGTCCCGCACACCCAATTCGGCACACCCCTCACACGTTTCGTGGCCCCATAGGGAGCCCCACCGAAGGCCCCAGTGCTGCCGCCCGCATGCGTCACGCACACCCAATTCGGCACACCCCTCACACGTTTCGTGGCCCCATAGGGAGCCCCACCGAAGGCCCCAGTGCTGCCGCCCGCATGCGTCACGCACACCCAATTCGGCACACCCCTCACACGTTTCGTGGCCCCATAGGGAGCCCCACCGAAGGCCCCAGTGCATGCGTCACGCACACCCAATTCGGCACACCCCTCACACGTTTCGTGGCCCCATAGGGAGCCCCACCGAAGGCCCCAGTGCTGCCGCCCGCATGCGTCACGCACACCCAATTCGGCACACCCCTCACACGTTTCGTGGCCCCATAGGGAGCCCCACCGAAGGCCCCAGTGCTGCCGCCCGCATGCGTCCCGCACACCCAATTCGGCACACCCCTCACACGTTTCGTGGCCCCATAGGGAGCTCCACCGAAGGCCCCAGTGCTGCCGCCCGCATGCGTCCCGCACACCCAATTCGGCACACCCCTCACACGTTTCGTGGCCCCATAGGGAGCTCCACCGAAGGCCCCAGTGCTGCCGCCCGCATGCGTCCCGCACACCCAATGCGGCACACCCCTCACACGTTTCGTGGCCCCATAGGGAGCTCCACCGAAGGCCCCAGTGCTGCCGCCCGCATGCGTCACGCACACCCAAGTCGGCACACCCCTCACACGTTTCGTGGCCCCATAGGGAGCTCCACCGAAGGCCCCAGTGGCGGCGCTCACATGTGCATGCGTCCCGTACACCCATTTCGGCACATTCCTCATAGGTTTCGTGGCCCCATCATCCACCGGAGGCCCCAGTGGCGGCGCTCACATGCGTCACCCACACCCACCCAATTCGGCACACCCCTCACACGTTTCGTGGCCCCATAGGGAGCTCCACCGAAGGCCCCAGCGGCCGCGCTCACATGCGTCCCCGCCACCCATCCCGGCACGCCCTCACAACACAGGTTTCGTGGCCCCATAGGGAGCTCCACCGAAGGCCCCAGTGCTGCCGCCCGCATGCGTCACCCACACCCAATTCGGCACACCCCTCACACGTTTCGTGGCCCCATAGGGAGCTCCACCGAAGGCCCCAGTGCTGCCGCCCGCATGCGTCACGCACACCCAATTCGGCACACCCCTCACACGTTTCGTGGCCCCATAGGGAGCCCCACCGAAGGCCCCAGTGCTGCCGCCCGCATGCGTCACGCACACCCAATTCGGCACACCCCTCACACGTTTCGTGGCCCCATAGGGAGCCCCACCGAAGGCCCCAGTGCTGCCGCCCGCATGCGTCCAATTCGGCACACCTCACACGTTTCGTACCGAAGGCCCCACCGCATGCGTCACCGTTTCGTGGCCCCATAGGGAGCCCACCGAAGGCCCCAGTGCTGCCGCCCGCATGCGTCCCGCACACCCAATTCGGCACACCCCTCACACGTTTCGTGGCCCCATAGGGAGCCCCACCGAAGGCCCCAGTGCTGCCGCCCGCATGCGTCCCGCACACCCAATTCGGCACACCCCTCACACGTTTCGTGGCCCCATAGGGAGCCCCACCGAAGGCCCCAGTTCCCGCATGCGTCCCGCACACCCAATTCGGCACACCCCTCACACGTTTCGTGGCCCCATATCCACCGAAGGCCCCAGTGCTGCCGCCCGCATGCGTCCCGCACACCCAATGCGGCACACCCCTCACACGTTTCGTTGCCCCATAGGAAGCTCCACCGAAGGCCCCAGTGCTGCCGCCCGCATGCGTCACGCACACCCAATTCGGCACACCCCTCACACGTTTCGTGGCCCCATAGGGAGCTCCACCGAAGGCCCCAGTGGCGGCGCTCACATGCGCATGCGTCCCGCACACCCATTTCGGCACATCCCTCACAGGTTTCGTGGCCCCATCATCCACCGGAGGCCCCAGTGGCGGCGCTCACATGCGTCACCCACACCCACCCAAGTCGGCACACCCCTCACACGTTTCGTGGCCCCATAGGGAGCTCCACCGAAGGCCCCAGCGGCCGCGCTCACATGCGTCCCCGCCACCCATCCCGGCACGCCCCTCACAACAACAGGTTTCGTGGCCCCATAGGGAGCTCCACCGAAGGCCCCAGTGGCACCGCCCGCATGCGTCACCACCCGCACCCAATTCGGCACACCCCTCACACGTTTCGTGGCCCCATAGAGAGCTGCACCGAAGGCCCCAGTGGCGGCGCTCACATGCGTCCCCGCCACACATCCCAGTACACCCCTCACGCGCTTCGTGGCCCCATAGGGAGCTCCACCGAAGGCCCCAGTAGCGGCGCTTACATGCGTCTCCGCCACCCATCCCGGCCCCCCCCCCCGCAGCAGCATCATGTTTCGGGGACCCATAGGGAGCTCCACTGGAGGCCCCAGTGGCGGCCCTCACATGCGTTTCCGCCACCCATGTCGGCACGCCCCGCGCGTGTTTCATGTCCCCATAGGGAGCTTCGCCGAATGCCCCAGTGGCACCCATCTCGGCACACCCCTCACACGTTCCGTAGTCCTATGGGGAGTTCCACTGAAGATGAAACCCGCAGCTGCTGTACTTACAACTGCATATGGTTGGGTTCTTCGCCATTTTTTTTTTTTTTTTTTTTTTTTTTTTTTTTTTTTTCTCTCTCTCTCTCTCTCCCTTTGTCCCTCCTCCTCCTCCTCCTCCTTCTCTTGCTCAGGAGGGCTTGCGAGAGGAACGCTGCCACCAAACCCTCCACACTGTTTTTTTGTTGTAGGTGATACTACCAAACCCTACTATACACATTTTTTTTTGATGTTTTGTTCCCACCGTTTTTCCCAACCCTCCCGTATTGGGTTTTCGTTTTGGATAGAGCACTGTAGTCGCGTCTCACCTCCACCTCCCCTTTGTCCTCTCTCATGCCTCGTATCTCTTCTCTCCTGCCGTCTGCTCCTCACGTGGGCTCCTGGGAGGCCCCGCGGAGTGGACTTGTACGGGGATCCAGTTGGGACTTCGCGGCTCCCTGGGGGGCTGCGAAGTGCGCAATTGTCGCCAATTTCGTGGGCTCCTGGGCGGTCCAGCGGAGTCGCACGCACACTTCGTCGAGACCTCGCGGCTCCCTGGGGGGCTGCGATCTGTGCAATTGTCGCCATTTTCGTAGGCTCCTGGGATGTCCAGCGGAGTCGCACGCGCAGCTCGTCGCAGCCTCGCGGCTCCGTGGGGGGCTGCCAAGTGCTCAACTGCCGCCACTTTCGTTGGCTCCTTGGAAGTCCAGCGGAGTCGGTAGTCACGAACGCACAAACACAAACACAAACACATACACACACATTCACGCGCACGCACGCACGCACGCACACACGCACGCACGCACGCACACATGCACACACACACACCACACACATCACACACACCACACACATACACCACACGCCCACACCACACATGCACACACCACAGCACACACACACCACACACATACCACACACCCACACCCACACCCGCACTCACACCCACACCCACACCCACACCCACACCCACACACTCACACTCACGCACGCACGCACACACAAACACATGCACACACGCACACACGCACGCACGCACGCACGCACACACACACGCGCGCGCAAACGTGCACGCACGTACGCACACACGCACGCACGCGCGCACACACACAACACACAACACACATCACATACCACACACTCACACAACACACAACACACAACACACAACACACAACACACAACGCAGAACGCTCAGCACACAACACAACACGCAACACAGAACACACAGCACGCAGCACACACCACCCATCACACAACACACACCACACAGCACACACCACAACACACAACACACACAACACACAACACACACCACACAACCCACAACACACACCACACAACACACAGGACACAGCACAAAACACACAACACACATCACACCACATATCACACAACATACAACCCACAGCCCATAACACACAACACAACACACAGCACACAACACACACCACAGGACACACACCACACACAACACAACACACAACACACAACATACAGCACACAGCACACACCACAACACACAACACAAAGCACGCACCACACACCACACACCACACATCATACATCATACAGCACACAGCACACAACGCACACCACACAACACACAACACACCACACACCACACACCACAAAACACCCACAACA